TCTGGGGCGTAGCGACAAAGTCAGTGGGCAACTCCGTGAAGAAAACTGACTTGAAAGTTGGTGACCATATTTATCAGTGGCGGAAAGGATCTTGTATGACTTCGGTTGATCCTTGGAGTGAATTTCTCTGTCAAGATATTCACACCATGGAATCATCGTGGACATCAACCCGTGTCCGAACGAGACCTGTGACCATCGCGGCGTGTGCTGTACGATGTGAGGGGAGTGGCTGTCTTGCTCTCCACTGTTGTCTTGCTCTCGATTGTGTGGAAGTCGATGCTGTTTGCAGGTAGCGTGGTGCATTTCAGTGGTCACCAAGCTACTGAAGCTGCTATCAAGTTGACGTCGCTTGGGACCTTTGCGGGAGAGCAAGGGACCTCATCGGTCAAGAGATTCAAATACGGCTGCACCAACGAACAAGTGCGTCCTACTATTCAGATAGTTCACATTGGAATGCCTGTGCTGGTCAGATTCAATCGGAGCGGTCTGGCACATGTTCTTTGAAAGTGCCAGACCCGACGTGGATGGTCGCTCTTAGAGCTCTCTCGATGGTCAACAATTTGGACGTCGAGTATAATCTGCTCGAGAAGAACTGTGAACTCTTCTGTTGTTGGTGTGAACTTGGACCCAGTGAGTGTCATGGAGGCTCGCTGGCCCGATGACAACTCGATGTTTTCAGGGAGTGGTATTGTAAACTTTGGGTCGACCGAGAGGCGAGCCATTGGTCAAAGTGATCCTGAAAGGTTCCGGCAGCTATCTTCGATAACGAGTTCAGTTGCCCAGTCGCTGGGATTCCGAGGTGGGCGTATCTACTTGCTGAGAAGAATTGCAGAACCTACCACCATAGTGAACTATGAGGTCATCAGATGCTCATGTGGCAGCGGCTTCAGCAGCAGTGAGCACCGCAGCTCAGTCGGCATACAAGCATAGTAAGGAGTGCACGGACCTCCACGCATCTTCCAACTCAACCCATCTTTAGGTGACAGTGTGACCGCGTTCGCCTCAACCTTCCTGCACACACCGTCAACGAGAAAAGACGACAATCTGAAACTCTTCAAAGCCATCATCGCTAAGATCTTTGCCTCAGTACCAGTGGTTTTGCCGAAAGCTGTAGATAGAGCAGTGAACTCGGATGATTTATCGCAAAGTGTGACTGATGTATTCCGCGTTCGCGCATGGAAGACGTTCCGATAGGTATCTCGGTACTTGGCGCGATCCTTGTTGACATATCCGAGAACCCACAGCTTCTGCGTAATCCGGATTACATCACAAGCCCGATGAGTGCGACCGAGTGGGAGACTGCCTTGCGATCTGCTTTGTGCGATGTGGATCGTGTTGCTTCAAGAAAGTGATTATTCTCTCAGCCAAACGTATTGCGTTATCGGATCGTTGGAATAAATAGATTGCTATTCTTGCCAACCAGAGACTCTATTAGCGAATGAGCGCATCATGGACCTGACTGGTTCGTGCTGCTTGTAGACCAGTGGTCCGGCCAGTGTTTGCACCTCTCTACACTCCACAAGCTTCGTGTAGGGTAACACGTAACTGAGGTCATCGCTCCTCTGATGTGACAACACACGTCGAGCCACAGAGTGATAAGAATTCGCAATGCGAAATTCGCATCTTGGGTGACGTTCGCGCCTTGAGCATGCGTGCACCGCGTGAAGGCGAGCGAGAATCGGCAATTTTCACGGATAGCGCTACTTTTCAGTAGTCTTCCGATGTCTGCTTAGTTCGACTCACGCTCTAACTAAAATGGTTATCACTGTTGGTTCCTCCCTTCCCAAGACTGAACTCTTCGAGACAAGCCCTGATGATAAGAAGACCTTGGCTGATGTTTTTGGGATGAAAACTGGGATTCTCTTCGGCGTCCCAGGAGCCTTCACTCCCACTTGTGACCAGACCCACTTGCCAAGGTAGGTCTTGTTAGTACCGTGCGTGGTGATTCTGTGGTGATTCAGTTACCTCAAGGACTACGAACAACTGAAGGCCAAGGGCGTTGAGGTCATCGCTTGCATGGCTGTCAATGACAGTTTCGTCATGCAAGCTTGGGGTAAAGCCACAGGGGCCGAGGGCAAGATTCACATGCTCGCCGACATCAAGGCTGATACCGCTAAGGTAATCGCGCCCGACTAGCCCTCTGTTGTTCGCATCGTATTTCTTCAGGCTCTGGGGGTTGATTTCGATGTGACTCCGGTCCTCGGGAATGTCAGATGCAAGCGCTTCGCTGCTGTTATCAGGGACGGTGAGCTCAACATGAGGAGATGGTTATTGGTATTTTTCTCTCAGGGAAAATCGCGGCCATAGAGGTCGAGCCGGATAATGTAGGCGCTTCTTGCACCCTGGCTAAGATATCTACAAATACCTCTGAGCGTGATCTGCTCCGGGGGTAACGAGAGTTGTTATTTGAGCGATTTTAACTGGACCAACCGACTTCGTTTTCCGTCGACAAAGTTCATTGGTTCTTGAGTGGGGCCGAATGCTACTTACGGCGCGCAGCTTTGGG